ATCTGCTCTAGAAAAACTGCCATTTCTTACAATATCTTTCCATGGGGAATTTTAGGGTCTTTTTCCTAGCCTCCACACAGTACTTGCTAAGGCTTTCTTGAAGGTAACTCTTGAAATTTTTGGTTAAATCTGAAAATTATTCAAAACAGATTATTGAAGGAATGAGTGTTCCTGAGCTATGTATTTTTATTTTAAATCTAGAACCTTTCCTTAAGTTGAAGCTGTCACTAGGAGAATGAGTATATATTCAAAGAGACTGCCATAACTTGTTAACTTTAAAATTGGAGGTTGGAACTTGAAGTATGAACACCCAATATTTACTAACCTAAGGGTTACTGAGGAAAGATCTGTGGTATAACTCATCCATGCATAATAATATTTTGCTTCAAAGTCCATGACTTCAAAGTGTGTAGTCAGATAGTTTACATGAGCATGAGCAGATCTTTAATGTATTTTCAGATTCCAAATTCATCTAGAGCAGGGCAGTAAGTCTGGAGTAGAACCAATATAATAAAGAGAATCTCATGTCTCTTGTCTTGCTGCATGAAATATATATTGCACCAGCCCTTTCTCCTGCATGATATTGCTTCTTCATTACAGTTAAATACTTCCTAAATGCTGAGCTAAATTAGCATGTTAATATATCTGCTAGTATTTTATTATTACAATTTGTTAAAGGCTTATTTCAGTTTAATCTTACTTCTGATCTATTGTGTTAGAATAGGAACATGTGAAATATCTTAAAGCAATTCTGATTTTCCTGTGTTATATACCAAGTAAAACAATAAAGATGACCTCCAAAGCTTTGGAAATTAGTTTTCGTGATCCCAATTGAGAAAACTGAAGAAATCTTGTTGATTCATTCTCCATCAGTGAAGCAGGAAGGGATTTTTTTTTTTGGTATCAAATATAAATTTAAATCACCAGTCTTAACCATAGAGGTTGTATATAGAATGTAAAGCTGTCCATCACATTAAACACTCACAGCTTTTTTTCAGCTATTTCTGCAGAAAGGTCTGAGAATATGTAAGTTTTGCAGTAGATAATGGCATGATTTGTTGAGAAGTTCTGGAGTTAAGTTGTATCCTCTGGGAGTGTTCTGTCTCTGTAACACAGACATGTCTGGTGGTTGAAGCATCTTTGATGTTCTCAAACCTGCTGTTAGAAAAAGAAGAAAAAAACTCCAAACCTGACTAGAATCTTTCCTCACTGTTCTTCCTAACCTGTAATTTCAAAAACTTTTTCTGATATTAGTCTCATGGAATACATACCATTTTCTTTAGCTGATTGTTCCTTGAAATTCTGGGATATAGTATGAGGAACTGTCTCAGTACAGCAATGTCTTACCTTGATATTAGCAAGGATTATATATTCTTCAACTTATTTTTAAAATTGAAAGAGCATACTGAAAATGTACTAAGAATATATTGAGAGAGACTGCTATTATTTAGACCGGCCCTAAATATATTTTTCATAAATACTGGTTTATAAATGTTTCATTTATATTCACAGCATAGAGGAACATGGTTAGTACTGTAAAATAAATCCTACTAATTGGTGCATAGCTGTGCCAAAACTTTTACATAATTGATATTTATGTCTAAATTTTCCACGCTTTAAGTAGGAAAATTGCCTTGCATATTCATTAATACCTTCATTATTTCAAAATTTCAGAATTCTAAAATGAAAATTGAAATTGTAGTTAAACTACGCTCAGACTGTAAATGAGCTTTGAATGTAAAGGGAAGCAATTCAAGTTTGATATGTCAAAGGAGGAAAACTCAGAAGGAAGATGCAAAAAGCATGAAAAAATTTATAACACCCTAGGTATATGAAACTTTATACACTTCATAAAGAGTACAAACAAGTCACAAGTCTTTCGAGGACATACAGAAGTCTTTTTCTTTAAAGTTAAAGCAGTGGAAGATTATGCATGAGACTGAATGAACAGTAGATGACATGTTCAAGAAATGCTTGCAGAGACTGAAAGGTTTAAATACATTTTGAAACTGAGATACTCAAATCAAAGATTATTCTTTCTCATGTCTTATTATGGATCTCAGTAGCAGTGGATGATACTTCGTAGTGGTGGATAAAGGAGAAACTTGACAGGATTGAAACAAAGACAAAGATCTCTGACAGGAATTCATTTGGGCATCTTTTCATCTATTTTCAGTCTGATAAGAAAAGTTGGAGCTAAAAAAAAAATACTAAAATTTTGAAATCTAATTTCTAGGTAAATTCCAAGATACTGACAGGTAAAGGCTTTAATACTAATGTATAATATTATGTTATATTACATATGTAATATAACATAATATTATAATATATGTACTAAAGTCCCTGGTGTCCCTGAAAAGTTAATAAATTGTTTCACTAATTTGAGAAATTTGTTCCTTTTTTTCCCATCTGGAAAGATAAAATCAGGCAGGTTTGTTTTCTAGAGAGTTGGATTTATTTTGTTATGATAGTGTCACGCAAACACCATCTGTTAAGAAAACACTTGACAGCTTGTCGGGGAAAATAGAAGCTAAAACCTGGACCATGTTTAACAAGGCCTGTAGACATCCAGGAAGATGTGTCAAGTTTCAGACATTTGACACCTGCCCTGTTTCAGGAAACAGTATTTCTATTTCCTTTCCCTGATATTGGTATGAGAGTTTGTTTACAGAGTAAAGTTGTGGCCAAGAAGGAAATTTTGTAAAGGTAATCATCTTTCTGAGGAGATCACTTCATTCTATGCTATGACTAAGGTCTCACTCAACATTTACTGGTGTCCCAAAATACTTAGGCATTTTGTGTAAAACAAAGCGGCTTCACTGTAATGTGTTTGTGCTTAAAACATGGTAGCAAATGCAACCTTTTATTACAGTTGTCACCATAAGGTAGTTACTAAATTACTACATTTTACTAAGTAGTTACTAAGTTACTGCATTACTAAACCATAAGTTTAGTAATCTTGATAAGTGGGGCAACTGTACAGTCATATTGCTTATTTTTGTGTTTCAGTGATTCAGTAGTCCAAAGTGATCCTCACCTCCACATCTAACAAAGCTACAGTTCTGTGCTAAATATAGTAAATATTTGATTTTTTTTTTCTCTGAAAAATGGAAGACATATTGGTAGGAAGATAATTTATTTTAAGAAATATCAATCTACAAGCAGGCTACTTTTCTAGCAAGATCAATTTTTGTCTATAATTGCATTTCAATGCTGACATTTTCCAAGAAACTACAAGATTAAATTCTCAGAATAAAATATATGAATAATAGCGAGTATAAATTTGTTCTGAAATCCTTTATTCACACACCCAAAAATCTTTATCATTCTAAGTATTTTTAGTGAGATTAGCAGGAGTGTTTTTAAGACAGTGGATTCCAGATTCTAAAGATGGACAAAAGTCCAGCTAAACTGAATGTCCAAGTTTTTTTTATTTAGCAGGAAATCACTTTTTAAGTAAGAATCTTATTTTTAATTGAATCTTCAAAGAAATTTCTGAGATTATCATAATCTTTCTTGATGTACTTTAACAGAAGAGTATACAGTACAATAGGTAGCGTTGAGAAGATGTGGAGAAAGAGGTGTTGTTTTCCTGTATTCTTAAAACATTCTCTATGAAAAAAACCCTACAAATGTTGAAATACACTGTAATAATTGCAGTTTCTCTACTTCTCTGCAGAAAAACTTATGCTTCAGCTCAAGAATTTTGGTCCTTATTAGAACATTGTCTTAGTTGTATTTTTGTAGTACTGTAATGCAGGTTTTTAGTTCTTTAAATCTGTTATAAAATGTTGTATTCCTATATAAATTGATTGTCCCCGAAGCTGCCAAAACGCATAAAGATTTCTAGCTCTTAACATCTGATTGTATATATTCTGCTTGTCACCACTCCTTTTGCTGCTGTATTCAATTTGAAAGCATATCACTGTGTGGGAAAACCAGCCACTTTTTACATTTAATCTCTCATCACCTTTCAGCTGTAGTGTTGTCATCTGTAATCCAGTCAAGCTTGTATAATTTATATGTGTGTATGAGCAGAATAGATAGCATGTGTATATTTGGGTTTTCTGTATATTCAGTGTTCTGCTTTATGTCTTTTCTTTATGTTTAATTACTTTTCATTACACATATTCCTTAAATACCTTTTTGCTAAGAAGAAAAAAAAGGAAAATTGAATGTTAAAATTGGCTTGAATTTTGAAAGGGCTGTAAATTTATATGTTTATCTACATAGTATTAATTAAATATAATCTGGAGGGAGAAAGAATGAAGGACAAAAGGAATGGAATAGTATAGGATACCTTTTCTTTCTCTTCCTAACTGAAAGCAAAAAAATAGAAGTTTGAGCCTCATTTGCATGAGCACATGAGCAACTGGTTACAAATTGATTCTGTATATTTTAAGATTATCTTCATGACAAAGTGGTGATCGACCAAAGGTTGCACTTGATAATCTCGGAGGTCTTTTCCGATCTAAATGATTCTGTGATTCATAAAGATTATTACAGTTTTACAGTACTACAGTTGGGTTCTTGGCTTTTGTCTATTTTAAGTCTTATCATGGAAAGATTTTATTATGTAGATTTTATTTTATTATTTTTTTTCTTATGTATATATATTATATATTTTTTCTTATATATATATGTGTGTGTAAGATTCTTAATCTTACAATGCTGTCTTTTGAGTATTTCAGATGAATTCATGAAATGTTGTTTTTCCTATATGGGGAAAACTGTGGATCCTGATATATCCTTAAAAAGGTGACTGACCATGGAAATCAATCATTTTGTGTCCCACAGAAGCAAAATATCGCAGTTTTTTATCCCCCCCCCCAAAAAAAAAATCAATTATTTGGGGCTTCTTTTTGGTAATAATTTAAACTGGTACAAGAGAAAATGGTAAAATATGGTTAAATTCAGGATGTTGAAGTTAATGTATGGGAAAAGTGAATAGTCATCTTTACAGTTGCGTGCCTAAGTGCATTTTTTCCTTTACTTTGCAGTGACCCAGGGTGGGGATGCAGTTGCATCTGATACATGTCCTGATCCTGGAATTCCTGAAAATGGGAAAAGGGTAGGCTCTGACTTCAGGTAGGCACATTTAGTTTTCTATATGACCAAAAGGAAGGTGTTTCCTGTTACATATATATGTATACAGAACATGTAACTACAGATATGTATAATTTCCCTAGTTTTAAATTTATCAATTCTTTGTCAAAATAACCCCAGTCCATTGTATATCTTGAATTGTTTTTACTTGTTTCTGTTTTTAAATCAGTGAATTTTAAATAGGAATTGTAGAGCATAATATAGAAAAAGCAGAACTCTCAGGCCAGCATAGAAGAAGAAGAAGAAGAAGAAGAAGAAGAAGAAGAAGAAGAAGAAGAAGAAGAAGAAGAAGAAGAAGAAGAAGAAGAAGAAGGAGAAGGAGAAGGAGAAGAAGCAGAGAGTATTATCTGTTTTCCCACTAAGTAAAAGCTGTTAAAAAACTTGGAGAACATGACAAATTCTGTGTGTGATGAACTCTGTCTCCCTGGGGTTTTTTTGTTGTCAGCTTTTGTTATATTAAAAAAAAAAAAAAAAAAAAAAAAAAAAAAAAAAAAAAAAAAAAAAAAAAAAAAAAAAAAAAAAAAAAAAAAAAAAAAAAAAAAAAAAAAAAAAAAAAAAAAAAAAAAAAAAAAAAAAAAAAAAAAAAAAAAAAAAAAAAAAAAAAAAAAAACCACACATCAAATGGGCCTCTATGGAGAAAAGAGGAAGTTTGCTCCTACCCTATTGAGGAAAAAAGGCAGAGACTTCAAGGTGCAGCAGAGAAGAGGGTAAAAGGAAGGAAATGGGAGCCTCCAGCTCATGCAGAGATTTACGAATTGCTCAGCAGGGAGTGGACAGTCAGACCTAAGAGTAAATGGAAATGAACAATTCATAGGAATTAGAAGGAATTGTGCAAAGTTTTCTGAAACTCTGTAGAGCAAATTAATCCAACCTGGTTCCTGAATCATGGTTCTTACAAGTTAGATCATAACAGACAGGAAAAATAAGTTTTAAAATCTATTCTATTTCTGATTGACGTACTCTTTTTGGATTTTTCTCTGTCCTCACAGGAGTCTGAGAAATCATAAAGAACTCCAATACTAAAAGATTCAGTTATATGCAAAGTCATGGTTTCTTCAGCGACATAGCAGAAGTTTAATGTGTTTTAAAAAATAATGAAGTCAAAGGATTTACAGTACATAGACTAGAGATACAAGCTGTCCAGAAGATGTTTTTCGTGAATTCTGATTCAACTTATCAAGTACAGCTGCTACGAATGAAATTATATGACACAAAAGTATAGTATGTATTTCCTGCCCAAAGGGCTACTATTTTAGGAAAGTAAATGTAATTTTTGTCTAGATCTTTATTAATACTTGATGTATTGAAGAAAGAAACATCAGTCAGTAGAAGACTAAGTAAAAATAGGATACTAAAATATAACTTTTCTCAATATGTGTTAAAGTGCCTGTGTGTATACATCCAAGGAATACCTGTATTCTTCCACTGTTATTTTGGAGAGCATTTGACTTTACTATTTGTGCAGGAATGCCTCGATTTCCCTCCTCTGCTTAAGTCTCTCCTCATGAAACCAAAAATGATGCAGAACATACCTCCTCTGAATTCTTCCAAATCAAATACTTAGCTGAAAGAATTAAGGGCAGCATCTAAAATCACTTTGTTATCAGTTGAGAGAGAAAAGGATCATTGGAAATAATTAAGCCCATAGACAAAATGTTTAGTGGAAGACTGCATGAATTAAACTTAAAGGGCACTTTTTCACACCATTATCTCAAGATTCCAGAGTGAATTCAGCAGGCTGGGGTGGTGAGGAAACCTGAGCATTTGACGTATTAGAGGCTACGAGTTCTGGGTTTGCTTAGTCTTCAGAGAATCTGAAGGAGCTTGTTACTCTCTACAGCTACTAAACAGGAGGGTGTAGAGAAGAGAAAATCAGACTCTTCTCAAAGGTGAACAGTAACAGGACTAAAGGCAGTGGTGGGACATGGTAAATTACTACTAGTTTCAGGATTAAAAAAAACCCAAACATGTTTTTACTGTGAGGATCATCAAACACTGAAGTTTACAAAAGAATTTGTAGAATCTCCATCCAGGGAAGCGTTCAGAACTCACAACAGGGCTCTGAACCCTCTGTTCCAACTGGGCTTGCTTGGAATGGGGCATTGGACTAGATGACATCCTCTTCCAATCTAATTTATTCTGTGAATCTATAAATTTTTTACAGCTTTCATAATACACTGTTGGCCAAAGAGATCACATGTAGTTATGGTCCAAGTCAGTGGCATATGAACAACTGTTATGAAACAGTCCCTGCTTGAAAACCTTAAAGCTTGAAGAGAGTAAGAGAGAGAATTTAAACTCTTCCCCTCTAGACTGTAGTCTGTAATATGAAAGACAAAGGGAACTAGAATAATTTTGGGGAAACAGATTCAAAGATCCAAAACATGTGAACCACAACATGGGAGAGCTCAACAACAAATTTCCCAGCAATGCCTAAATACACCAAGAGGGAAAGCCCAAAAGAACCTTAAAGCTCAAAGTATATTATAGGATATCTGAGGGAATCTAATGTAAAAGAACCTTACAAAACATAGACAACTATATTTTGAACACGATCTCTTAGGAATGAGTGTGGGTTAAAGGTTTTTTAAATGTCTGGAACTTACTTATGAGCAATGCTCACTCAGTCGACACAGCAAGGCTATTTCCCTCCATCCTTTACCCCATCCAACCTCTGATAATATTTTTGTTTCACCAAGTGTATCTTACTGTTCATGGAGATAAATGGATGTATAAGGTGTTCAACAAGAAACATCATATAAGATAAGATAAATAAAATGTGTTATATATTTTGATCACATTAATTATGTGCATGTTTTGGGCCTCCAAATTCTGAATAGTATTTGAGAGAAACAATATAATTTTGTTTTCCTCCTAAACCTTACTTGTTAATCTGAAGACTGATTATTCACCAGCAACAGCTTTTCATGTACTTTAAAATTTGATAATATCTATTTAACACTTAGTTATCTTAGTGTAATCTATCTAAATCTGACTGAACATTTAAATAGAGAATTTGGCTGGAATTTAGTTTTTGTTTCTCTGAAATGACAAATCCAGCTCTTCCATAGGAGAAGGGACATAATATTTACTCTTGTTTGCATTTCTCCAGTGTAATAAAAAAAAAGAGAGTAAAGATAGGCAATGTTTTTTTTTCTTTTCTTTTCTAAGAGGCAAGTATAAACACCAGAAGGAGCTATTGTTCTTGTCAGGAGAATGACAACTGTGAATATTAATCTGAACTAAAAACATGTGAAAATGTACATTATTCAAAGTCTTTTCCAGTCTACTAAAAGACATGTTATGAGAGGGATTGATGGAAAGGCAGAGGGTTTATTTTCAAGACAGCCTGAGACCCAACTGATTCTGTGATGACAAGTTCTTTGAAAAGGGTTTGATCGTTTTCAGCATAATAATGGCATTCATTCTAATATCATAAAGCAAACAAAAGGGTATTGAAATCTTAACCTTTTCATTCTGTCCTCCTGCCATGCTTTCACTGTTTTCAGTTCAGGAAGTAGGGAGGAGATTTTCAGTGATTTTGAAACAATACAGTGAATATTTGGATTCATTTTGAGGGACAAATGGCAAGTCAGAATTTGTTAGATTAATAAGAATATAATCAATAAAATTTTGGGGTCAATATCATATTTTATTTTTACATGAGACCTCAAAACAGTTTGTTTAAGCAGACTGCCTAAACGAAATCTGAAATAGATGTAAATAATACTGTTTTAACTGTCCTTAAATATTGTATGGTATGTGTTGAAGGGGGGATGCAATAATTTTGCACATTTTCACCAACATTCATAACAAAAATAACTTTTAAGTTTTCAAAACAGTTTTTGAAAATTAAATTTTTATATTAGTGTTGCTTTATGTTAGTATTTTATAGTATTTTATTTTCTAAAATGGCTTCTTTCAGTAAAACTCTAGCCTTTTTTGTAAACCTTCTACTTTGGTAGAGTTCAAACTTAAAAAGAACAAGAAAAAAGAGGAAACAGATCTCTTCTTCATGTTTAAAGTTTACACAGAGAAATATCAAAAAAAAACATAATACTTCAAGTGCCCAGAGATTTACCCAGTGACTAGAGCGGTAGAGATGTAAAGAAAAATAACCAAAACCAAACAAAACAAACCCAACTCAATTAAAAACATTCATTTTTAACATGAAGCAATAATTTTATTGGAAATCATAGATCAAACAAGAGAAAAGACAGCTTTAAAAACATGTTCCCTTTTTAAAAGAGAAGTTTTCAAGAGACTGAGTCAAGAGACTTAGCAATCTGGATGTTGTTTAGGAGTTTTGTGGTAGTTTGTGTGTTCCAGATGCATCCCTTGTCCCACGATGCTTATTTAGATATGTAAGGAGCTTTTGAGTACTTCGCGTTCTTATCTTGCTCTTTAATGTGATGGTTTTTACTGTGTTTCTTGTTTGTTTTTATTATGTTTTGTTCAGTATATTTCTTTTGTGTTCCTTAGTTTGTATTCAAACATTTCAAAAGATTATACCCACCATACAAAATATATGATGTTGATGTAAATTGTCCTTAGACCATTAGATCCAAACTATTTCTAGAACATTGGGGGAAAAAAAAATCAACCCAAAACCTGAAATACATACTGTGTAGGATAACACTGAAACAAATTGGATCATCATAAGTGTATAGATTAGATTAGTGTATAATATTTTGTGTATACATTAATTAGAATTTTAAAAGTATGTCTGCAATGATCAGATCCCAGTTTAAACATGAAAACCTTCACTTACTTCATCAGATCTAAAAATATTTTTATTCTTCTTGTTCATTTTGGGCTTTTTGTTGGGGTTTTCTCCTTTCTTTCTTGGGGAGAATAATTGGGTATTTTAAATTATAAATTGCTGTTGCAGACATCCAGTAATTATGCCTTTTATTTAATTATAAATTTTTGTATGTGCAAAGTTTTTTAATTGCCCTTCAAAGCCTTGATAATAACAACTTCAGGGAAATGTTGAAGTTTTTGTGTTGGTTCATGCATCATTACACTTTTGGGAAACTCTTCATCCAATATGATTTTTAAGTTCTTCAGTTCTCAGTTTGCATTAATCGTAACTAGGTAACTGTTTTCTTTTTCCTTAGCAAAAGAAATTCAGAGCTCATAGTTTTAGAAAATATGAGAAAATGCATTTAAAATATATCTGTTTATGGCATTAAAATGTCAGAGTAATTAATATTATTATTTTCTTTACTAAAAGGAGAAAGTAATTGTTTACTAATTTGATGTATTTATTTGGAATCATACTTGGTCTATTTTTCTGAGGGTTCAAAGAATGTTCTGAAGGATAGTAGGTTATGACAAATATAAAACAAATGCAATTTTTGAAAATTATACTAGTCTTCAAGGATTTCATGCATTTTGCATGAATTACAGAAGGAAAGAGCCAGTATTTTGTCTGCCTTTCTGTTAAATCTTTCACATTTTACAGCTCAAGAACAAACTACTAAGTAGTTTTTAAAGCTTCCATAGATTCAGAACATCATACTCAAATTTCAAAATTAACAATACCAACAAAAAATCCTAATAAAGTTTCACGAAAGAACTAAAATAGCATAATATTGAAAAACAATAGAGTTAATGTTTGTGAGATCCTCTGAGAAACTAAGAAAATTCTTGTCCTTGAAGGGTAGGAACGAGCTGGATGATAGTGAATTGGATTATTTGCAGTTCTCCACAGTACAGTTAAAACCACTGAGCTTTCTGATTGCCATCTAGCAATCTCCTGGTGTTTAGGACTCTAAACTGAGAAATCTGCTTTATCAAGGTCACTTGGCTCACAACATGGGATTATCAAATACAGATTCAAAAGTACGTGAAAACAAACAACAGAACCAGTTGTTTATGATGGGAAACATAGAGTCTCACAAATAATAAATGGAAGCAGACATGTAAATACTGTTTAGCAAAGCTCTCTTTGCTGTGGACAGCAACTGTGTACAGTTTTTTTAATTCTTCATAAAGATTGGTCAGCATTCCAAAGGGACAGATTTCAGTGTTACAAATGTATTACAGTGTGTGGCACAAGTGTGTTACAGTTAATTTTCAGTCCTAAAAAAAAGTTATCATATAGCATGATTTTTAACAGGAAAATTCAACAAGGTCAGGAATATTTAATAAATTATTACCATTGAATGAAATTAATATTTCCTGGTTGCATATGTTAACAAATTACTTAATCAAACTGCTTATTCTCTCACTTGAGAGAATATAGAGTGGTTGGAATTACTCATGAAGTAAATTATTTTGTCTGAAAGAATTGTGACTATATATTTTCTTAAAAAATATATGTCCCTATGCATTCATCGAACTCATACTTTAAATGATCAAATTTACCACCACAGTTGTTGCATATTCCTGACCTTACCTCCTTAAAAGGTGGGCAAACTAAATAATAGACCTATTCCCTAGAGTATAAATTAGTTTTCATGAATATAACGTTGATAGAGTAAAATTTTGCACCTTAATTTCTTTGTTTGGATCTTGAAATATTGTCGTTTGGTGACATTTGCATTTATTCGAGGATGTTGATATTTAAAATATGTTTTAATTCCTTCCTTCTTCCTCCCATTTGTTTTCTAGGGTGGGTGCAAGTGTACAGTTTTCCTGTGAGGATAATTATGTGCTGCAAGGTTCTAAGAGCATCACTTGTCAGAGAGTGACAGATACACTGGCTGCCTGGAGTGACCACAGGCCAATTTGCAGAGGTAAGAGGTATTCTTTGGAATTTTTCCTGAAGTTTGGATGGGTAATTATAATTTCTGTTTAAATATGCAATAAGAAAATACTCAAAACAAATACAAAAGAGAATTATATTGTATATGTGCTTACATATATACAAAGACCTTTATGTAACTTGAAACCTGCAATCAAAGATGCAGAAAGAGTATCAGTTTAGGGAGGTAATTTCCTTTAAATAACTTTAATTTCACTTATTTTTTTGTCATGTTAAACTTATTTTAACTAGAACTAGTTAGGTTTATATTAACCTTTTCTAATAAATAGGAACTCCTCACAATCATACTTTTTTCCTGCCAGTCCCAGATATTTACTTAGCCCTCATTTTACAGTAAATTCCCTTCTCATTCATCTGTTTTGCTCAACTTTACAAATTACTTAACCTTCCAACTTCTGTTTGCCCGTTACGGTCTAGACCAATGAATGAGATCCACTTTTAAGGAGGAGCAGGAGAAGTGGTTTTTTGTTTGTTTGCATGTTTTTCCATTGCAAACTACTTCCTGTAATAAAAACACTGGAAAAATATGTAATTGCTGCCAAAGTATACCAGAACTGAGGTAAATAGGAAAACATAAAGAATACATTTTTGTACAGAACTTTTTATCTCAGTAGAAAAATTGATTCGGGTTACACATTTGAATTGTACATGTCCGTGACAGCCCTGACCCTTGAAATGTGGTTGCTTTACCTTCTCCTAGAACCAGACAACCCAGCCAGGAATAACTTTGAAAAACAAAGAAAAACACCATTGTCAATTGGTGGGAAAAGAGAAAAGAAAAGAAATCATACAAACTGTTTGAGGTACTTTTATTGTCATTTTGAGGTAGATCAAAGAGATACTTCTTGTATCAACAAAATCTTACACTGAATGCCAGCTTCCAGGGCAGCAAATATTATTTGAGAGACTGGAGAGGATTTGAGGCACCTGGACCTAAATTTTTGCTTGCTCAAGAATGAGCTAAAGCATAATCTCACTTATATAAAACTCATATACTTCTAAAAAAGTTTTCATTGCCTAGTAATTTCATAATACCAATTTTTTCTCATGTTGCCAGAGTACAATACAAATTTTCAGTTGCATAATCACATATAGAATCATAGAATCAGCTAGGTTGGAAAGGACCTCTGAGATCATCAAGTCCAACCCTTCATCCACTACCGCTGTGGTTGCTAGACTATGGCACTACGTGCCATATTCAATCTCATCTTAAAAACCTCCAGGGACAGAGAATCCACCACTTCCCTGGGCAGCCCATTCCAATGCCTGATTACCCTCTCTGTAAAGAATTTCTTCCTAACATCTAACCTAAACCTCCTGTGGCAGAGCTTGAGACCATGCCCTCTTGTCTTACTGCTGGTTGCCTGGAAAAAGAGATGAGCCCCCACCTGGCTACAACCTCCTTTAGGTAGTTGTAGAGAGTGATGTCGTCTCCCCTGAGCCTTCTCTTCTCCAGGCTAAATATATGTGATATATCTGTAAATGATGCTTTAACAATTGTAGTGGATTGGCCCTACCCAACAGCTAATCACTCACTCATCCCCAATGGGTTGGGGAAAAGACGTGGCAGAGCAAAAGCTGAAAACTTGTGGGTGGACATCAAGATAGATGCAAGACAGTATCACAAATGTGCATCCAACCAGAGAAAAATAAGAATTTTATTCACTACTTCTAACTGCTTGGCAGATATTTAACCATTTCCTGGAAAGTCAGGCACAAGTGATGGTTACTCAGAAAGACAAAGCTAAAACCATGAAGGTTCCCTCTTCTTCCCCCTTTCCCTGGGTTTTTATGCAGAACCTGTCGGTTGTTTTGGTTGTGTTTGTGCCAGCTGTGTCCCTCTGAATTTCTTGTGCACTCCCAGCCTACTTCCTCAAGGTTTTGACATTGTGCAAGCACTGCTCAGCAGTATTCATAACACTGCTGTGTTATCAACATCATTCTAGTTACAAACCTAAACCACAGCACCATATCAGTTACTGTGAAAGAAGTTAACTCCATTTCAGTGCGATCTAGTAAAAAATTCTATAAAGGCAGCTCTTGGATAAATTATTACAAGGTGTACATTACATATATTAAATAGGCAGATCCATGTAAGGACTAGACAATCTAAAAAAAATAGTTAAATCGAAGTCAATAAAAGTCATACCCCTAATCTTTCCAGAGCAGCAAAGTAGCTGTTATTGGTGTCTCTTGAACTCAGTGTCTCCATAGCTCAGTCAATTTAAATGAAAAATCTAAATATACCCTCTCAGTACTTGGTTTCATAGTAGTGCAAAATAATGTGTCCATGCAACTCCACAGTTGACTCCTGTTCAGTGTGGGTTTTTTAGATATCTTGAATTTATTCTTGTTTGCTAATACACTGCAGAAATGAACTGAAGTAATCCACGAATGAGAAAAGTAATGCTCTGGAGAAAGTCACTCTTTGCTGCTGAATTATCTGTGTATTATTACTAGTGTTTGCTATATCTTTCAATTAATTATCTGCAAATATCTCTATTATGCTTTACTCCCTCAAGTAACTTCTAAAAAAAATCGGATAAATTGGTCCTATACTTCTAATAAAACCAGAGTTGGAAAAACAAGTTACTTTCATGACACATATTTCCAAAATTTGAGCTAAAATTTCACAGCAGTCTGAAGGCTAAGTCAGCAACTCTCTGTAAGTGATTTGTTTGTTTCTGAACACAGATTAACATTGCTTTAGCTGAAAAGTGTATAATTCTTGGTCAATATTATGATATTGCACATGATGCATGTTTGTGGATGGTGAGAAGTGAAAGACACAAGTTTTATTTGCAGTCCGCATTATTTCAAATTCCTTTACTGACCTTCAATATGCCAATATTCATGGACCTCTTTATTTAATAATAAAATATACAATACAAATCACAGTTTATCACATTTTCTAAAAGATCATCAACTTAGAGTGGAAAACCTGATAAACTGCAAGCAACTATTCTGGGCTCAATGACTTTAGGTTTACAAGACTTAGTGAAGAAGCTGACATTTGTATTTACCCCAGAATGGTGACTAACAAAGTTCAGAATTTCTGAAGCTGATGAATAGTCACAAGAGCCATCTTACTGCTGGCAAGTTCATGACCTTACTTAAAAGGGTGAAATGGGGGGTCTGCCCAGGATGACAGTGCAGGTCAGTGTCCACCCCACCACCCCACCTGGGTCACAGGCAGGGAGGAGTGGGAGGCTCCAGCAACTGCCACAGAAATGGAATTGTGCTAATTTAAATGTTCCCAGATTCCTTGAATTCAACACAAAAACCTTGCAGAGATCCATTCTCATTTTCTGTAAGCATTATACGAGGCTATCTAATATTTTTTTGCTATGTTTTGCAGTAACTCCATTTCCTAAACAGACCTCGGGGCTTCAATTGTTGCTCTTGCTTAGCTTCCCTCTACCCCACTCTTTTTGTTTTTTTTTTCCTTACCCCTGAAGTTTAAATAGGAGAAAGATAAAAGAGTAACAGCTTGACTGAAAAATGTCTCTTAAAGGGAGATGTTTCAGCCTTTCTTCTTTGCGGATAGCTAGAGGAGGGACAAACTGTTTTCAAAGGCTTATTGCTCCAGAGTTGCATCTCTGGATTAGTTCCTGCTGTAGCAGAGCTTGAGCGGGGGGAATCGAAAATAAATCAAGAAATATTGTCTACTAGTTACAGTCCTAGAGGTGTGTTGCTTCTACCAGTTACTAGAGTGCAGAAAACGTTCTCTATTTCAGATCCTATGGATCTGCTCTTGTTATTCTAGAAATTAAAAGAATATATTTTTCTTGATACAGCAGCAATATTCCAAGCTTTCTGTATTAGTAGTAGGCAGCATACAGTGGCATGATTGAATGTGATTAGTTCTTTAGCAACACATAGGGACATGGTTTAGTGGTGGACTTGACAGTGGAAGGGTAACACTCAGACTTGATAATCCTAGAGGCCTTTTGCAACCCAAATGATTCTTTGATTCTGTGATTTTTTAAAAACTTTTTAAGTACAAGCAGCTTGTTAATAACTGTTAGTGCTGTTTTGGTAGAATTACCTACAGGGATGAGGGAGATTTTTGTCTTCTACTAAAATTGTTGCATAAGATGTCCAGGTGATGTACCTGAAACTTAGATGAAATCCATGGAAGACTAATAGGACAGTTTTTGTCATAAACATAGAATATTAGAATGGTTAGGGTTGGAAGGGGCCTTTTTAAGATCATCCAGTTCCAACCCCTCTGCATACAAAGACATTTTCATAGAAAACTGCGTCCTAGTTAAATCAGTCTAGACATGGAGTTCTCATAGTCCAGTCTCTAACATAGTAACAAAGGAACAAGTGCTGCTAGCAGATTGTGATGAAAGGATAGATAATCGGACAGTAATTTTCCTCTACTATCCTTTTTACCTATTTGTACAAGTCACACTTCTACGAATGGAGAAGAGCAGTTTGTGAGGTAAAAAAATGTTCATATTTCATTCCTCAGAATGGAGACAGCCACAAGGAGGAATGAAGGCTAAAATTTTACAAAGTACCAGAAATATGTTGTGTATTTTATTCCAATATTCAGAGAAAGAATGAACAATTTTTGAAGAATCTAGTCATTCCTTCTTCCTGTACTGAAACTAAAGTAACTAAAGAGTCTAAATTACATCAGACATCAATGGAAGTTGTGCAGATAAATGATGAGATTCAGAGATTTGTATCTAAGTACTTAGAAATGCTATGACCTAGACTTTCAGTTTTAGCATGTTGCCACAGTGCTGTAGTACCAAAAACTTGATAGTGACATTTTAAAATATTTGAGTTCATTTATGGCTCTTCAAATTATATTTCTAAATATTTTTTAAATACTCTTAGATGCTGAAATATTTTTTAAATACTCTTAGATGCTGAAATATTTTGAGAATTTTTAATATTTTCCAAAATCTATTCCTAATACTTTTTGGAAAGTATTGACTTTCTAAAGTAATGTACTTTCAGAATGTTGACTATCCAGTTTTGCTGAATGTGACAGAGGGATTACAGTGGTTTCACAACTGAATCCGAGCTTTACAAAAGACAAGACTACTTGCTGCCTAGAATCATTTTATGTTCTTTTCCTTTGAATTAAATTTCTTATGGTGTAAAGAGCTAAGACACCACAGAAGTTCAAGTTTAGGTTAAGAATATACTGTTACATAAATATTATGATACTTTTTTTTTTCCAATCATGGAGAAAGTACGAAGTAGAGCATATACTACCCCTTCTTACATTCATACATAGAAGAGTCCCTTCATCCACTTGAAAAGGGTAAACCTTTCTCTAAACAGACTATTAATATGATAATTCTGAGAATTTATTTTGCATAAAGTAAGAATACAGTAATGTAAATTTTGCACTGAATAATTGGAAAGTTTTAGTTTCCTTCCTTTGTAGGCCATTTTTAGGGTTTTTTTTGTCTAGCTCAAACATCTTCAATTGCAGATTGTTATAAATATATCAGTGTAATAATACTTCTGTGACAAGTTGTTACTAACATTGTGGCAATTTTATGATATTTATTTAAAACAGAGTAACCAATAAAAAGCAGTCTGATTTGCTGTTTATCATTTTAGCTAGAACATGTGGTTCCAACTTACGTGGACCGAGTGGCATTATCACATCACCAAATTATCCAGTTCAATATGAAGACAATGCACACTGCGTGTGGGTCATCACAACAACTGATCCAGAAAAGGTATGCTTTTCCTCTTTGTCTCAATTCAAACCGTAGAATTTAGGATATCTCTTTAAAATATTCCAAATATATTTTCACAAATCCATGAATACATACAAGTGTGTATGTTCATTTAAACACAAAAATGACCAGTGTAGAGATGATAAGAAAATACATTAGGTACAAGGGGGAAAAAAAAAGTATGAAAATTTCCACTCAGAGTAGTAGGTCTGATTTCCAAGTTTTAAATACATTTTTAATGAAATACATGAAATCACAGTAAAAATCCTACGTTGCTAAAGGAGTTAAGGGTGAGTTTTTCAAGTTATATCTTCATGCTGTTGAAGCTTGACATAAAAAACAGACATTTAATTGTTTTGATAGACTTTGTAATTTCTTTTTTCAGTCCACTGTTTCTCTGTAATGATTCTAAATACATAACTATGAATAATTATGCATAAGATAGCGGTCATAATTCAATATTTTTCTACTGGATTATACTGAGATGCATTTTCACGTGTGCTTCTGTAAAATCAATAAATAGCAGAGACTCCTTATATTGGGGCAGGGGAGGAGTTAAAAAGAGGTTTCACTTATATTTCATTTTTCTGTAGTGAAACATGAATAAGTGACTTACAGTAAGTCAAAGGATATACAATCTATATGTACTTTCATAATTACAAAACATATGTTTCCTGTGCAGTTTTTTTGAAGACTGTATTCTTGACTTCTTTAATGTAGTTAAGGGAAAAGGTTTAACTTTATCTCACCATAAATAAGTGAAAACATTTAGCTGCAGAAAAGATCAATTTGCTGCATGCTTTCATAGCATATTGTTGAGCTGTAAATGCTGTTTCTTTGCAAAATCTATTGAGTTCACTTTTTCTGAAAGGAAATTCAGTGCCTCAGTAGAGATATCTATTCAAGAAAAACAGTGAAAAGTACAAAGCTATCACACTGTGGAAGATCTTACTATACTTCACTGAAAAGTTTTTCTTTAGGTTCCAAACTGAATTGTTATATTTTATTTGGCATAACAATTCAAAGTGAATATTTTTCATGGAATGACTTTTGATTTGAAAATCAATACATTTTATAGAAATTATTAAATCGCTTTGCATTTTTAAATATGGAAATGCATTTAAAATATGGAAATGTCTGAAATTTTCATCTAAAATTTATATTCTGTTATGTGATCTTATTTTTTCAAAATGCAGTATATTTTTATAAGAGAAAATTTAAATGTGCATCAAAAGAAAATTAGCAAAATTACTACTAATAGAAAAAAGTCTTGGGCTCTCAATGCTTTCTTTATTCAGTTATGTTTAATTTTTTTTCCCTTGATTTTTTAGGAATTTTATTAAGGAATGTTTTTCACATTTTTTTTAAAAATGAAGATGGCAATGTCCCTGCTGATTGCAAAAAAGTTTAGCCATAATAATAGAAAAATTGGTATGCACTATGTAGTATTATTAAAGGTATTATGAATGTATTATTACACTGTACAATTTTATAGAGGCTCAGACTTACCTGTGAAAAACATTAAATCCCCATCTACTACAATAATATGCAAGTTTTATTCATTCTGTAAAACATATCTTTATCAGTTGATTTAGGATTTTAGTGCAGGACTTAATGAGATTGGTGTGGATTAATTTATTTTTCTGTTCACTGGACTCGAAAAGGCAGTCACTCTAAAGTACCATTCTTGGGCAGGTTGCTAGTTCATCAGTCACAAGAATATACAGAAGGAATTGCATACCCAGACAGATCAATTATGTTATGTTCAAAATGAAGAGGTATGCGTACAACACTTGGAGCTTTCACCCAGAAATGAAGTCCACACTATTACATCTAGCTGGGTGGAAGGTAAAGAGGCACACTGACAGATACTGATCATCACAGTATAAGAAAAGGAGGCCAAACTCTCGAGTGTTTCTATTTTGGGCAGGATGGTCAATACTGAATGAGTTGTCTTCTTATTACTTTGGATTTGTCTAGGAGTGCAACATAGGAAGATCATTTTCTTGATTCCATGTATCTTGGAAAGATGTGTATTTGCTTTAGGACCATGATGACTGTGGAGTGTTAAAATCAAACATATTTAAGTCTTAGACTGCTTTCACATAAAGCCTACATCATCTTTATCAGTATGTTTAATATAATATCGGGGCTAACTGTATCTACACTACTTTTTCAGATAACAAAAGAAAGGAAAGAAAATCCTTTTACTTTACAGATTAGCTGACTGAAAAGGAACTTCTTTCCTACTTCTTTCTAAAGGAAAATATCTTGCTAGCATTTTGAAATCTATGAACTTTAGAAAAATCAGTTACGAAGATAATTTTCAATTAAGAACGGATTTTAAGATATGCTGAAAGTTTTGCAGATTTTCATCCCTGACTTTTCTTGGAGTTATGAATGACAGAACTTTTGAAAACTGAACTGTGTATTGAAGGCTTGATTTTAAGATTAGACTGGGGAGTTGTTATAATCTAGTTAGTTGGTGGGTAATTTAGATATTTGGTCTTGATCTGCAAAGGCAGAGAGGGTGAAAGGTTTGAACATCCCCAGAGCGAGATTAGGACAAAAATGAGGTCAGTTGTTGGTAACCGAAAAGATAATCCACTTTTATTCTTTATTAAAGAGGAGAGAAAGGAGGAAAAGAGGAAAGTAGGAAAAAACAAAGGGTAGTTACAAAAAGCAAATGATAGTCACCACTGTGGGTCCCATGGCATCTTGTTGATCCTTTCTTCTTTTGTCCTTTGGTGGGGAGAGCTCCATCTGAGCTTGTTAAGTGAGTTTTTATACGTAGGCTAAACAGCATGCTTTCTGATAGCATTTCAGCAGTCTGGCCCGAGCTTGGGGCCATGACAACAGCACATCTGCCACATAGGCATTGGTGTTCCCAAGACGATCGTGCAATACACCTGAAGTCTAGAGGTTGTGATGTTCACCTGCTTTACCTTATTAGGAAAGAAAGGAGGTGCACAGAACTTTTCAGCTGTGGTTAACTGAACATCCTGTCTTTGCAATTGTCTTCTGACTGCAAATTTTTGTAATAGTGAAGCCACTTGCTTTTTATAGTTCAAGCAATGGCAAAACATATTGCTTTTTTAACAGTTCAGGCAATGTCAAAACAAATTGCTTTTCACCAGTTCTCTCCAGGAGTCTACTATTTTGACTGTCAGATTTGAAAATATTTATCCGAATGCTTAGGGTCATGTTTGATTTTCTTTTCTGAGAAGACAAACAGTTCATGACATGTTGTTACTCTGTATTTTAAATTACTTTTGACTTACTCTAACAGTGAATTTGTGACTTTTCATTGGGTTAGTTTGCACATAGTATTTTACCAAGTAAGGTGATGATTTCTCTTAACATTCAGTGTAATTTAAGGAGGATAGGCTAGTTAAAGAGGTTTCCTTGCACAAAAAGTAAAACAAGAAAAGCAACCAAACAAACAAACAAATAAACCACATAATGAGCTTGAATATTTTAAAGAATAAATCTAAAATAAAAAAAAAATGGGCACATAGCATTTTCCAAATTTTGCATTCTGGTGCTGGTGTGGGGAGATTTTTAATGCCAACTGAAAATAAAAACTAATTTAATCTTCCTATAGGGACAGTAGCATAGTTCCAGGTCTTAACCAACCATATGAAGATTGTAGTTAGATAAGATTTTCTAACATTTATTTGCCTTTTTCTGAGCAACATAAAATTAAGTCTGATTCTTCTCCTGTTCAAAGGTATTTCTGTTAATGCTCTGCTTACTTTGAAGAGTGTATTTTCTTCCCTAAACATTTATTTGTTTCCTCTGGGTCCCACTATTGTAGCTTTTGATCAGCATCCTACTGAGTCATTTATTAGACTTTTAGTACTTGCAAATACAACTTTATGGTGCTCTTCTGACTCCCTATCAAGTAGATGCTGTAATTCTTGGCAATTCTACATTATTTTAGTTGTTCTGTTAAGCAGTTTCTCAACTTTTTAGAGTCAGTTATTTTGAACTGTTCTTCAGAGGTCTTACTGATCTGTTATATTGGTTTCTTTCTTGCTGTTGGTATAATCTCTTCAGTATGTACTAAGCATATCTCTATCCCTTGCTGTTTCAATTCATTTTCCAAACTGTGTGTTTTTTTTCTTAAGACTTACTCTCTTGATTTTCTTCTGCTTTCACTATTTTATGGTAACATTGCAAGGGCTTCTTTTTTCAGCCCCAGTGCCTATAGGAAGGCAACATTTTGTGTTGTTTCAGCAGTGATACCCAATTTTGCACAATATTTTCCTGACTGATTGCTGATTACAGTATTGTAGATGTGCCATGGGCTGCAACATTTCTAAGTTTAATGACCCGGTAAATAAAGATTGTTTCTCAATTAAGTTTGGGTTTTTTTCTGAAGAATTAGCTTTCTGCACAGTACAAAGCACAGATATTAAGTATTTGTTTGAGCCTAACAATTTTCTTCACAAATTTTCTATATTTGTGATGTCTTCTGTGTTTTGTGTGTAGTTATTAGAACATTATGAATTTTTTTAACAATGCTGATATTTCTACCTTTCAAAACATCATGTGAGTGAGATGTAGGGCTGGAAGAGAAGACTCCATTCTGTCACTGGAGACATTTATAATGAGATTTGATCTGCACATATGGATGCTAAATGTCTGAACTCCAATCATACTTGATGGAAATCTGTCAAACAATCAGTAGAGTCAAAACAGTGCTTCATCTCTTCCTAAGCAGTCCACTAGAAGCTGATCAATTAAATCACTGGGCTTTGTTTGCTCTCACTGGATCAGAACCAAAAGGGATTTAGATGTTTTAAACTTCAGGATCATGGTGTTGTAGAAGAAAGTATGCTATTTTACATGAGGATTATGCTGCACAGATTGAATGGCCATATGTTGAATAAAAAACCATTGCTCTGGAGTAGGGTTATTTTACTAAAAGTGTTGAAGAAATCCTCCCCTATATTAATACATCTATTTCTAAGATTGAGTCTCTTAGCTAAACTGAT